CGCATCGGGTGATAATCAAACATAAATTAGACGTGACCTTTTCACCAAAATACTCGATGATATGCTCTAACAGTTCGATATCTTCTGAGTTCATGCCCGCATCGAACGAAGTACAAAAGCACAGTAGATGAAAACTGTTGATACTGCGCTCGGTACACGCCTGTTGGATTACCCCGATTTCTTCATCGAAATTTCGAGGATCCGAGAACCCAGGCGTGTCAATAATTGTGAGCAAGAGAGCCGGATTATCATATTTTACCGCTTTAAAATCGATTGTACTAGGCTGTGACATAATTCGTGATTCGTTAGACACGCATTTGGGATTTTCCATGGTAACTTTCATTGTTGTCTTACCGCTTCTCCGGCGTCCGAGCAAAAGAATGGTTCGTTCTACAGGCTCCTTTCCATCTAGCGTTGGCTTTGAACGCTCAAGGGAATCGAACCTTTCTTCAATTGCGTTCATTATTTGCTTTTGTTGGAAATCGAAACCCATGTTTTCAGTCGAAAATAAGTTCTTGTAAATGGTTATCTAAAAAAACGAAATAGTTAATTATGTCATTATATTAACAGTTCGCTTGTAAAATATATAAATGAGTCTCTAAATCCTGAATACATATTAAAGTCTAGGAAATGCAGCAATGTCCAGCGGCTTTTGCGTTTTTTGTAGCCTCTTCTTGAGCACGGGCTTTCTTGTTCTTCAATTCTTCTTGCTTTCGATAAATCTCTTGTTGCTGTCGATGAATCTCATCTTGTTTTAGAAGAAGTTGTTGTTCCCTTTGTTGCTCGTCTCCTTTCCGTTTCAGTTCTTCTAATTCACGTTCGAGCTCCGCTTTTTCCACATGAAATTCATCTCGAATTTTACGAATCTCGCTAATGTAAGATTGACTAATTTGAAATGCTGGAAGGTCTTTTGTGAACTCTTGAAGCAGTTTTGTGCGATATTGAAGGACCATCTGATATTGTTTGACGATAGATGTCTCACCTGCTAGGTAGTCATCGGGATTAATCGATCCAGTAAAGAAGGTCCCTCTCTTGAAATAACCACTGATTGGTTGATAATCTTGGTCAGCCTGAAGTTCCTTGCTGAGTTTTTCTAACTGTTCTTCACTCTTGGATTCACAACGGGTTACGATCAAACAAGAGTTTTTTGAAACATCGGGTCCCAGCCGATCGATGAACAATTTGAGAGCCTCGACATCGTCCTTTTGAACACCTGCCGTCATTGAGAAAGCAAAGCACACTAAATGAAATTTAGTAATTTCGAGATTGATGCATTTTTCAATGGCTTCCATAATAATTTCGTTACTGCGAATCATTGCATCCGCAGAATTATGCTCAAATAAGCCCGGTGTGTCAATAATATTGAGTACCATTTTAATGTTTTCGACGAAAAAAGATTCAAACACAGGCTCTCTAGGGTCGGATTTGAGTGTCATTGTTTCTGGTACTTTTGTTGGATCAATCAACATGCTCTTGATAGTAGACTTGCCTGTTCGTGTTCGACCGATGATGAGAATATTGATTTCCTTAACTTTACAAACATGGCTGAAACCTTCTTTAGCGTAGTGTGCTTGGATTTTTTTCAGAAGTTTTTCGCGTTTTTTCACTACGTCCTGAGGTTTCCCAGAAAGGAGCATCTGATAATGAACAATCTATGTGAATTAGTTTTTATAAGAAAATATTTCTACGCACTTCAATCTCGGATTCATCGTCAGACATGTTCAACTGCCGTTTTATTGTGTTACAGTTCTGTGTGCTAAAGAATCATGTAAAATATGGTTGTCGCAAAGCATCTTCTTCTCTTCTTGTGAAGAAAAACAGGTGATCAAATGATCCAATAATAGAAAGCTACGTATCAGAAACTCATTATAAATCACATGAACCTGTAGTCTCAACAATGTTTGATGAAAAACCGAGTTTCCATATCAACGATGTATTATCATCGGTTGTGAGTAGTGAATCTCATTTCAAAATCTTACAACTCATAACGAGCTCGAAATTCATAAAAAGATTCCATGTAGCACAATCCTGAGCTATAAAAGACAGAATACATGAAACGTGTGCCACTATACAAACGCTATTAGCTTAATCCCTGCGGGATTGAAATGCGAAACACAACCTGAAAGTAGTGTTGAAGTATCTGATTGTTACGTTTTCTGTTACGATCTGTGGTGTGGTCCGGGGGACTGGGTCGAGATTTCTCGTCATATATACGTCAATACTCCTTTCAGGTCATGTTTCACAAAAAAATCTAGGAATAATTTGGCAAGCAAACGTGCCTGAAGAGCTGTTTGAATTCCTGTCTTTGTCATAGTGAAATAGACTCAAGTCTGATATATGTGGCAGTAGCTGGGTTGAGAACCTACAATTCCTCTAGCGACGGATCATCAAAAAGAATCTTTACATGCACTTCGAAATTTTATTTAGTTGGGTCATGGAATGAGTAGGTGTGACAGAGCATAGAAACCAAGTCCGATATTAGCAATAGGCATGAGCTATTTGCTATAAAGATACTTTTTTTTTGTTTCCATAAAGTTCGTTTTTCTTTACAACTTGACAATTGATAAGCCATATTGTTAAATTATCTCAGAATTCCAACACATGATGCTCTCGCAGAGGTAAGAAAAACAGATTATATTTGCCGTCTATAAGAGTTGCAACAGTTGGATGTTGTTAGACGTCAACTTGAATGTGCCTTCGCATCATCAATTAACCTCCTCGAAACACTTTTGTTAAGCTGGTATACTGATTATGAGGAAGTTTCGACAATTGGTTTCATAATTAGATCTTTTTTCTTGAGCTAGAGAACTTTTCTAATCATTTCATAAATACACAATGAGTATCCTTGTTCGCGCTCTCGCACATTAGAGTATCGACTCTTTTTCATTAGGCGAGGCATCAAAGTTTACATAAACGCACGATCTTTCTTTTTCAAACAACGATTACTAAACATAATGCTTTTCTCAAGGCATTCTTTTTTTCCTTTAGGATCAGGTATTGGATACTGAGTAAAATACATAATACTTTCAGTATAACTTACCTGATAGTTGCAAGTACTGAGTGCATTCAAAAAGTACAAGTATCTATCGTTGGACTTTTGAAATAAAGTCCTTTTCCATTTTTCGTGAGGTTACAACAGATGTCACGAATCAATTCACATGTTCCCATAAACGGATCCCTTAGTCATGTCTAGCTGCAATTAAATTAATATTTCTTACGTTCATCCCATTCGACGTATGCTGGCCATGAAGACTAAATACTCTTTTGACAAAAATCTTAATTGGAATTGAAGTCATCTAACGCATAATTTTGGACATAAAAGTCATATAGAATACAGTATTAGGTAGTAAAAACAAAGTACATCGCTGATGTTTTTTTTTTCTATCATATCTTGCAATTGATGGGTATGAAAAAGTGGATGAGGTTTCAATTCGACCACGAATTCTAAAATAATCTCTCGTCGCTTTGATATTGGAACATGTTTTTAGATAAATTTATCTGTATCATATAAAAAAGATTTGTCAAGATATTAAACTACGAATCGGTCTGAGTTTATTCTCTTTTTCTGGAAACAGCAGAAGCAGAATTGCACATACACAAATAGAACATAGAAAACTCTATCTACCATCACGGAAAAAAATCCCCGATAAAAAGCACACAAGTACTTCTTGTATAGGACACCAACAACAGAGAGAGTGTGTCAAAATGAATGATAAAATCTGACGGATACTGTTTGACACTCAGAAAAGAGCAGCAAATAATAGCTATAATAAACTTTGATTCGCTCTTAAGAAAACGATGTCTCTGAATAGTTGTTCAGCCATACGCGTTCGTCGACTTGAAAGAATGAGGCCGGCATGGGAAAAGACGCGCTCTATGGGAGCTGACGAAGCTTGTATGGAGAAGACACGAGTGACTAAGGTTTTCACTGATTTTAGCGGTGAACGTAGCCAATAATCCGAGAAACTAGATCGCACAGGATCCTTTAAATAGGCTTCTAATTCTAAAGAAGGACTGGAATGCTGCGACCCTTGTGAACTCGGATCATGATAAGATTCATCATCATAGACGAATAACTTAATTCGTTTAATTTTGCTGGTTGACATCATTGCGACAGATGATTCATTTGAAGTTAAATCCATTTCAGTACGAGATTCCCGAAATGCCGGTTTTGCATCTTTGCCAATCTCATCCAATATGAATTGAATAACATTCTGTTTTAATCGATTCTCAGTATTGACGGGTAATTTGAGATCACGAATCCAAAAAAACTTGAACGAAGGATCGAGGAGAGCTGCCATGAAATAGACAGGATCATTGAATGGGTCATCAATTCGTACCTCTCGTTGATGCAATCGATTGATAATACCAGCGAATCTTGTTTCAATTGCGGTTCGAAGTTGTTGCACAAGTTGATGGCAGAAGATTAGATTATCCTTTATGGCACGTAAATGACAAACTAAATGCACGACCGATGGAACTACCAGACTGATGGTTACGACCTTTTCAGCTTGACATCTCATGGAAATTTGATAAAATGGTTCGAATATATCGATAATTTCCTCCATGATAATGAAATCGTTGTTTGAGAACTGGATTGAATACTCGATGAGATTGCAAATCGATTCTAATTCGTCTTTATTGATGGACAAGACGGATTTCAGCAACATATAATCACTATTCCATCGAGTAACGGTTGGCTTTTCTATATGTTTTTTGATATGATCCAGCAAGTCAGCTATTTTGGCTGATTTATGAGAGAATCGAGCTAGGTTTTGACATTTTTCTATGACTTTTGAGATATGCGAGACTTTTTCCAATCCATCACGTATTACTAACTGTAACGTATGCGCAAAGCACGACATACGTAAGGATTGAAGACCAGCTTGATTATGACGAACGTCTTCTTCTGAAGGATCAATCATTTGAAAATGGAGAAGATCAAAATCCTCTGAAATGAGTACAGATATGTAACAGAGAAAGATGTTGCATTCAAAATATCACTTACGATCACAAATAACAGATGTACAATAGTCTTCAGCTGTGGATACATCGACTTGCTCACTTTGACTTGAAGGATGGACATCGGAAGCTAAACCAAATTTGTAGGCTTTAATCATTGTAGATGCATTATCCGTAATAATTCTGTATACTTTTTCTTTGATGTTATAACGTTCAAGAACATATTCAGTTAGTTGTTGAATATTGTCGCTTGTATGAGGTGATTTCATTCGCACGAAATCAATCAAAAAGGCTTGTGGTAACATTCGGTCATCCAGAAAATGACAGGTAATCCCTAAGAAACCTCGGCCACGTCTATCGGACCAAGCATCAATAGTTAACGTGACATCACTGACTTTTCCAAGTGCTTCACAAATTGTTGTTTGAATCCTATTTTTGAAAACAGCTATAATATTTGATTTCAATGTTCTTGCTGATATCGGTTGCCATTTTGGATAACATTCTTTGACGAATTCACGGAACGCTGGGTTTTCCGCTATACTCAGGGGTAGATTGCATTTGATAATCAGATTTTTACCCATTGAGAAATTAATTCGACTTTGTTTGCTGTTGAATTCTGTTGAGTCTTTCGACGATGGACGATCATCAGAGCTGTCGATTTCTTCTGACAGATCCTCGTCAGTAGAAGGAGAGAACGTTTTTTGATATTCAGATAAATGCTTTCGTTTTAAATGTTTCACAAAGTTACTGTAGATGCCATGTAAATCCTTGTAATTATTTTGGCATAATTTGCATAGCCCATTCATTCGATTATTATTAGCCAAGGAAAATTCAAAGTAACGCTTCAATTTCTCAGTAGTCATCTTCTAGCGATCCTCTGACGATGACGACGATAGGTACACATATGATAATAATTCCAATCAAAGTTCACCGTTCCCCATAGGATTAAAATTAACACGAAGTAAGATGCATTGATACGATGTAAAACACACAGAACTTGAATAACAGCTAAACCGATGATTGAAGTGTCACGGAGGTCGATTTCTTTCTTCTGCTTCAATATTCCTAAGTGTTCTATATGTGAATTGAGCAATTACATATCTTTCCATACACAAAATTGAAGGAAATCGAAATATTCGTGGAGAAAACGATTTGTCGTTTGCTACTAACATTGACAGCTCTACTCTTTGAGAGAAATATTCACTTCACAATAATGATTCTTATGAGTTTTATAGTTTATCTGTGCATTTTATCAAACTGAATACTGAAGAAGAGAAAACACTCGTATTGTTTAGTACAGAGTACAGCATCTGAGTACAGAGTGCAAAATTGGAGTACATAGTAATTGTACCTGTACTGATTGTACTGGTACTTGTCCGATGTCTGTTCTCTACGAGCAGTTGGATTCGCATAATCATTATATTGAGAGGTGTATCGAACATATACCACTGTGGAACTAAAGCTCTCATGCTTCTGACCATGGTCTATCGCAACAGATGAAGAGTATTAAAGCGAGTGTTCGTATGTTCATACTATATCAATTCGTTTTCTCACAAGAAGACTGCTAACCAGCGAGAAATCAGATATATCTCAAATAGGAGAATAATATTGGTGTTTCTCAGTTATAATTTCTTCACTATTTCCGGATGTTGCTGTGTGCATCCTTAGATGTATACAGCTTTCAATTTTTTCATCTATCAATCCAATCGAAATGAGACGAATAGCTAAAATACAGCATGAGAATAACCTAACAGACTTTTTCGTTAAGATGCAACGAAACTCAATAAGTCAGTCAATCTATCCTGCACTTGAATTTTATGACACGACATACCTGTGAAATGTAATGAAACGACGACTGTAAGAATAACAATTTGAAAATGACATTGTTTGAAAAGAAAGACGATATAATATAGAGGCTTTCTTTGCCTTGTAGACGAACTGATAAGCAACACAAGATCCTGATGCAACGTGTATAAAAAAATAGAGAAAAAAACCCATTCTCAAGTTCTTATCAAAGTTTGAGCTTTAGGTTTTTTTAATATGATTCAAAATACACACATGAGAATCAAAGGTTTGAGTTTTCTCCATCATCTTGTTTTATTATTTTTTGGGCAAATTCATCAGTGATGACAAGCTTTTTGGAGCAATTTAAATTTATTTTCATAATGTGTTTCTGAAAAAAGATGACACGGATGAGAAATCATCAAGGTCGAATAAAAAGTCTCGCATACAAATATGAAAAAAAAAAGAAAAGATCTACTTCTTCACTGCAAATTTTTCAATTCGCAAAAGAAACTCGCGTATTTTGAAAAAGAATTGCTTGTTTTCGCATGAAAGATCAACAACATCTATCAAATTAAGAAGTACTCACAACAGAAAGTAGAAAAAAATTCGAAGAAAGATAACCGAATCTCTATTTCGTGACAAACACAAGTGAACATGAGCCCTTTGCCATTCAAGAGCACCCTCATTTAGGTAGAATCTTGTTCGGTCTCAATCGAACGCAGCACAGAATGAGTAATATTATTCCCAGCTCGAACTGCGTCTACGATTAAAGAACACAGCAACAGAACACAACAGCCAAAAAGGAGTCTATGGGCTTTTTTATTTCAAACTGAATTCTAAAATCAAAAAAACCACACCAATTTCTTCCGAATCAAACTTTTCTCGCTTGATACTACGTAGTCTCACTAAAAACCCTTAGTCCCCCCTAGTCCTGCAAAGTCCCCCTTAGTCCCCCCCACAAAAAGCTTAGTCCCCCCTTAGTCCCTTTTAAGGGGACTAAAGCCTATAGTACACAAAACCACAAGCACAGCCTGACCCTCACTGACGCGCCCACACCCGCACCATGGGTGTGGGTGTGCGTGTGGGTCCCAGACCCACACCCACACCCTCAGTCACCCCCCCCCTCACTCCTAGACTCACGTTTCAATTTGAAATCAAGTATTATTTTTAGTTGATAAATTCAGACTGAAATTAAATAGCCCATTGTATGCCAAAAAGAGTCAGATTGAAATATGACAAATGTTTATATCTCCTTCATTGGTAATCTCTATTACCGTAAGGCAAATACACTTTTCGTTCGTTCTTCACATTTTTTGAGTCTCATAAGTCACTCGAACTACAACTAAATGAATCAACCCGATTTCAATCGACCAGTGGTCAGCCGAAGATGATTTTAGCAAACACATATTTACTTCTCACTAGTCGTCTTTACTGTTAAAATACATACTTTTCAACGACGAATTTGGTGTATGCACTTGTTGATGCATTTTCAATACACAAGAATTCTTTTTTGTTAAGAGCATGTCCTGATAAACCGATTTGTCTAGCTAATTTTATCGTAGAGAAATGCAATGAATTTCGTTGGCTACTGAATGAAATTCGTAAAATACCCATGTAAAAAATAATGGGAAAACATCCGGTTATCATTGATTTTTCTGCGATTATTTTTTACATGGGTCCTTACCTTTCAATCTATTATAACCTATACATGGCTTTTATTCTATTACAATCTATTACTGTTTTTAATCTTTCATAATCTGCTCTTACTTTTTAACGTATTACAATATATTTTTATTGTTTTAATCTATTGCTATCTTTTCTTACCTTTTAATCAATTATAATCTGTTTGTACCTTTTCATCTACTACAATCTTATATATGAAAGATAAATGGTATTCTCGAGACTCGAACACGAAACTTGTAGTTTTGCTTGATTATTTGGAATGCTCGTGCCTACAAACTATACAATTACCATTGAACCGAAGACACCCAAGTATAATACAATTAGAATCCCTAAATAAGTTGTTTCAAAGAGAAATGGTGCAATTACATTGGAAACCAATTAAAATCAATTAGAATAAAAAATCGATTAGAATTGATGAGACTTGCTTTTTACACTTCGGTTTTATGATGAGTCAAACACCAGATGCGAATCATTTTTACGCGATTAAAGTGGTTTACAACACGTGTTGATGACAGTGATGTTTTCTTTACGATACTTTTCAGCGTTGAAGAGCAATGTAGAGGATGTAACGAACTTAGACATTGGTCGCCATAGAGTACTCTGAAAACAGAAATGCCGTTCTGCCTTATCCATGTGAAAAAAAGACAAAAGGCGCTGGATCAAAACTGATTATTCTCAAGAAGTAGGAAAGTTTGAATATGTATGCCAATGTCAAATCAAGCTGAATAATTTAATCAATTATAAATGATTTTTACAGACGATAATGAAACATTGAACATTGTTTTACAATGTTCAATTTTGGTCTAATTCCTTGTGTCTTTTTTTACATGGAATGTTAATAATGATTGGATTTCTAATCGCTTACTTAGAATTATTCAAAGAAAATTGGATTTCGATACATTATTCACAATGAGTCCGATTATAATAGATCGTTTTAAAAATCTATGCATATGAATTAAGCTTCTAAGCGATTTGTTACGATCATTGGAACGTCCATGCATTCTAATCAATTATTCGTGGGGAAATGGTTTATAATAGAATTCTTGGAATATCTAAGAAAATTGGTTAGATGTATAGTCGGGTATTTAACGTTATCCGAAAAAAAAGGGTTTTGACCACTTAGTTGAGAATAAATTGATTAAATAGATTCTGCTTCAAGTCCTTTACAATTGATTACATTTTTAATCTGTTATTTAGAATTATTTGAAGAATCATGGGTTTTGATTGTTTATGCGAGAAGAAATCCATTGTAATAGAGTATTTTGGATTCTATTAGAACTGATTAGAGTTTTAATCAGTTATTCAAATTTTTTGCCAGGTAACAAATTTTAATTCATGATTTTCCTGAATTTAATCAAAACTTCAGCATTTAATCGACTTTTTGTGATTTTCAGTTGAAAAATCAACTTTAATCTGATTATTTGACCAATATTTTTTTTTACATCGGTAGATGAAAGTTCAGTTGCGAGTCATTGTTCAATAGTGACTTAGAAATCATGCGGACCAGTAAAACGCTGTTGACAACACGTGATGCTCGATTGATAATTGAAGAAACAGTTTCTTATAGATGCTTTCAATGTTCGATGCAGATGCATCGAGTAAAAAATAGGCATAACACTGAAGCTTCGGAAGATCTTCACACTATATGTCGTTATTTTGATAATTGTAAGACAAGGCTTTGATTTCTTTCCATTATGTTCTCTACGTCCTCGTGAAGTATCACGAATCTGTTGTTTCCACCATTGAACACTCAGTTCATCTAAACGAAGTCAATTGATATCATCATCTAATCATCAAAAGCGCCTGATTTTTTGCTTTTCAAATCGTTTAAATTATGCTATTGTTAACTCTTCCTTATTAGAATTGAATGAAACTATCCCGTACAATTACACATCACTCTACTTATAATCTGATGAAACTCATGAGCACAGTTGGAATCGGTGCTCGTTTGCTTCACGCTCGATTGTATAATCGATACCTGCAACATTCCAGAAATTCTTCGTTTGTGTTTATAAAGCCTTACAGACATGGAATCACTTATTCGTATTCCCTTACTTGAAACATTTCAGTGTTGGTTTCCAAAAAGTAACAACTACGTGACGGCTCACCTAGGGCACGACGCAATGTGCCGTACGCAGCTTGGAGTCATACCTGTAAACTTCCCGTTTCCACAATTCTGCTATTTATGATATTCTTTTCTTGCCATCAGAATTGTAATTGAGCACTACCATATCAATGAAGACTCTTATAACATTCTATTGCATTTGAGAAAAATGTAGATTACCTTTGCCGATCATTCGATTCCAAATCTACCTGAACAGTTCCTTAAGCAAAGATGAAAACAGTTACATTTCATCTCAACCTTAGATTATAGATAATTGTTGTAGATACAGAATCTTAGGCTCTTATTATCTTCTTTTGATTCGAGATCTAATTTAATTCTATGCAATTTCATCGAATTTTAAATTTAACCGATGAGTTCCTTAAGCAAGGGCGAAACCGGTCCTAATTGGCTTCGAATTTCTACTATTAACACACCCACACCCACACCCCAAGACAGTTGTGAATTTATGCAATAATAGATTTTTAATATGGCCGTCGAATCACTTAAGTAAGGACGAAAGTAGTCGTGTGGTGCTCTCAATATAAAACGTCTATATCTTTATAATGATTTAATATTGTTATTTGGATTTACTACGCATTTGTCTATTACTTCTTCAGCACTTTGGAGAGTTTTAGATATATGTACTTATAGGTTGTCAACATGCCCGTAGAGTCCCTTCAGCAAGGACAAAACTAGTCGTGTGATGCTCTCAATCTAAAAAATCTATATCTTTATAATGACAAAATATTTCCAAGAAAAACAATTTTCATCGCTCACCCAATCAAAAAACATTGACAACAAAAAAGAACTGACTAAAATATATCAGCTAAAAAACAAAAATATTACACAACCAAAGCTAAGATATCGGTCATGGCAGCTCAGAGATATTGTCGTCTCTTTTCATTCTTCTACTAGACTTAGTATTCATCTAGGCCTAGCACTGAAGATACATCTTGTTTTGGATTTTCCTATTTGAAAATTCAGAATAGATAAGCCATCTGAATGAGTCCCTTTGCCCGGACGAAATCGGTCATGGCAGCTCAGAGAATTTATGGAAGGTCAGTCTGAAATTCCTCATGATAACTTTCACAATTTCTCTGCTTAGGTATATTGACGATATTTTTATGACTACCAATGAATCATATGATATAATCACAGCCGTACTTCAACAAGCCCAAAAACAAGATGTTAATATTAAAATAAATCCAATTATGAGTAATTCTGTTAATTTTCTCGATATTACTACTACCAATACAAATGGACAATTAACAACATCGATCTATCACAAGCCTACAGCTGATCCTTATTACTTACTATATAAATCAGATCATCCACATACTATTCACCGCAATATACCATATACTGCCTTAGTACGTGCAGCACGTCTTTGTTCAAATCTTCATGATTTTCACCGTGAACGTTTAAGAATTCACGTATCCCTATTATTAAATAATTACCGACCACACTTTATCTCAAATCACTTTCAACGATTCTTTCAGGTACATAAAGCCGATATTCTATATAAATACTTCGATGAAAACACCTATTCTCAATTACATCGACAATTACTATATCAAATTTCGAAGCGTGAACTAGAAGAACAAGCTATGAAAAAAGATCCTGTTCTATTTCCACCAGTATTACAACAGCGACCATGGAATCAAAGGCTAATGTGTATTAGACATCGATATGAAAGTGGCCACATTTCGAAATTTTCAAAAGAATTTCGTAGATGGTGGAAAAAACATTATCGATCGCCAGGATCCGAAGCCAACCGCATACAACTCCGACTCATTCCTCTAACAAATCGATTATTACAACACTATTTCATTCGAAAAAAAACCACCACGACGAATTCTCACAAAAACGGAACCGACCATATAAACACTCTCATTGTAAGCATTTCTCAAGTTCTTTATTGTATATTTTGTACAGTTCGTTGATTTTTGTTAGCTATAAAACAAAATAAAATAAAATAAAAACATAGAAACATCTGCAAAAGCATTATACTGATTAAATATACATAACTTTCTAATATTTCAGATATTCAAAACCAATATGGAACGACAACAAAAACAGAAACTCATCAACAACAGCCAATCATTAAGAAGACACAAGCAGAAAACCAATACAAAGGTAAAACTGAATCATGAACATCACCTATTCCCCATAATGTAACATGAAATTCTACCGTACACTGAAAACCAAAATATACTGCGCTGATGAAAAATACAAAAATCACAGAGCAACTCTAAGGGATCTAAAATCAAATTCAAGAGAGATATTTTCTTTATTTCGGACTTCACCTTATGTAGTTCAAAATAAACTCAATAATCCAGCATTAATGATAAAAGCCGAACCAACGAGCGAGGCAGGTGAAGGCTTCCATCGACTCCTTCGAGTCAAAAAACAAAACTCACCATCCTCAAGCAGAGATAAATAGCATTAACTAAAAGTCGAACCATCCATCATAATTAAGTCCCTCGATAAAATATGGGAAACAAAGCAACAAGAAGAATACAAGGACGATAAAAGAACACACATACTGCAAAGCATGTGCTAAAATCTCTCACTCCACAACTAACTCAGGAAAAAATATAATTGAATGCTACGATTCCGCTCCAGACAAATCAATCTTCAACACCATAAGTATTTGGAGAGTTCTAGGTATATGTACTATAGGTTCGAAACTTGCCCGTAGAATGCCTAAAACAAGGACGACACATGTTTCAAGTCAAGCTTTCAATCTAAAATTTCTTCAAAATGATTTTATGATTTTATGTAATAATAGAACTCTAAAGATGTCCGTCGAGTCCCTTGAGAAAGGACGAAACACATGTCGTATAGATTTCGGAGTTCTCCAACTTACATTACTATTTAACATGCATTGATTCAATAATCTTTGATTTTTGGATCTCTGATACTGCTGCTTA